TGTATGGTTTTCACTATTAACATTATATTTTGAAAAACTAGAACACTTATGTTATTGACTCTCCAGGCCACTACTGCATAAATAAGCTGAAAATCAAGTTTCATTGGGAGGCTTATAATTTATGTATTAAAACTGCAGAAGAAACCACCACTGAAAAATTATCTTGGACTGAACAAATGACTAAGTATTAGAATTGCATGGCTTAAGTTCACCAATATCTTACAAACCCTGTGCTAAAGGGACAGACTATTCCATCAGAGAGAATGAATACATTCTAAGCACAGAATTTATCAAATAGGTCATCTTAGCACCAATTTTTCTTTTGATTTTTGATCATATTGGGTACAAAAAAATGAAGGTATTCACTAGAAACTATTTTTCAGAATAAATTACAGCCACATAAGTACAATATCTACTAGAGAGAAGCTAAACTAAAGAACTCATTTCATCTATTTTTTTATCTGTAGACTAGATACATGCATAGCACTGTAGAAAATACATGTTGCTGAGCCTCCGGATATGATAACACCAAAAACTAAATGTCTTTCTGAATAAAAGTTCTTCTGTGCACTTTTAATTGTCTTTGTCTTTTTCTGAACGCATTAACTTTCTGGATATGTTAAGTTACAATGGATGTGGCAGTAGAATTAAAAAATAAAACATCTGGGGGCTCTTTCTATTGTTGTTTTTCTCACATTCAAAATACCTGAAAATAATAATATTGTGCTATGTGACCTTATAGCCAACTTCATAAAGAAGTCCCTTTCTTGCTAATTATAATTCAAGGGTTCATATTTGAATAATGACTCAATCTACCTTAAATTTAAGTATATCATGTAGTACTGAGAAAGCCATTGTAAATTAACTGATGAAAGTGGAATGGGGTATAAGATTAAAAAAAAAACACTTCCAAAAGTGGTGAGCTATATTTTGCTTAATTATGTGGGATTAGTATTCTCTTATATTTTTATATTTTTAAATAAAACTATGTGAAAGAGTTGAATCTGTAAATAGTAGTAGTATTCTTAGAAAGGAATAAGATTTTAAATCTAGAGAATATATTTGAAGATATAGAGATGAGAGAGGATAAAGGAAAATGAGCAAGATTTTTTCTATTTCCTTCATCACATATACCAATTTCTCCTGTTAGAAATTTGGAAAT